GGGGCCGCTCTATACATCAACGGCGGAATACACGAAAATTGATCGAGACTACTATCGAGACCTCTTCACATCAGAGTGTGGGAATATACCATACACGCAGAGAATGGGAGAAATCGATGAGTTCCTGCGCCCCCTCTCTCGCACCCTCACGGAGCACCAGAAAGCGCAGCTGGAGATGCCATTAACAAAAGAGGAAGTGAGAACCGCCTTAAGCCTCATGGAAAAAGAAAAGACCCCGGGCATCGACAGCTTGCCAAAGGAGTTTTGGGATGCAATATGGGATTATATTTCACAGGACCTAATGGACTACTACCAAGCATTGTGGAAAACAGGTCAAATGGGAGAATTGGTCGGACAAAGGGTGTTGACGCTTATCTACAAAAAGGGCGCGACAACCAATATTCGGAACTATAAACCCATTACCCTCTTAACAGTGGTCTATAAGATGGTGGCGAAAGCGCTGGCCAATCGCATGGCTAAGGTTATGGCTGATATCATCCACCCAGATCAGACTGGCTTTATTGAGGGGAGAAACATCCAGGATAATGTCCTCCTAGTAAATGAGGTGATCAAACTTGCAAGACAGTCTAAACAAAACGCGGCGATCATCTTTATCGACTTTGAGAAAGCATACGATCATGTGGATTGGACCTTCCTGGATAAATGTTTGGAAAAGATCAACTTTGGACCTTATCTTAGGCATTGGGTGAAAATTCATCATAAGAACGCCACCACTAGGGTTATGGTCAACGGAAACTTGACATCACCTATCGCCCTCCAGAGGTCCGTACGGCAGGGCGACCCGATAGCACCATATCTGTTCGTGAAAGTAATGGAAGCTCTTGCGGAAAACCTGAGAACACACAAGGATATTAAGAGAATACCTATAACCTCAATACCAGAGGAAGCAATCCCTGTGTGTTCACTGTTTGCCGACGACCTAACCCTGATGGTGGACGCGTCCTACGCCTCGATGGAAGCGGTCCAAAAAATGATGGAAAAATTTTGCGCCCTTTCAGATATGCAAGTCAACTGGGGGAATAAAACCATGGGATGGTGGATACACCACCAAGGTGTCACACCCCCCGAAGAACCCGAGGTCAAATGGCTCCCTAACGAAGCTCCTATCCGCGTATTGGGAGTCTCGCTGTCGGCAAATGGAAGACCATCTGTAAACAATGAATGGATATCCAAACCACCCCTGGAAAAGCTGGCACAGTGGAAGGACAAACACACTTCATTGCTAGGCCGAGCCTTGGTATAGGTCAGCCATATGGACGCTGGATAAAACGGCCCTTCGCCCCCTGCAGCGCCAGATAGCCGCATTCTTATGGCGGGGAGGCCATGAGAAACAAGGAGTGATTCATAGGGTGGCGTGGCAGGCCATAATCCAGCCCGAAGGGGGACTGGGCATACTGGACCCGACACTACAGACTAAAGCATTGGCCCTCCAATGGCTTGACCGCCTCCTTTTCAACCAGGACACTCCATGGACAGGGCTAGCACTAGAACAAATCTCTAGGCTGGCCCCCGAAACAAAGGCAGAAATTCACCCACTGACATGGCTGGAGAATAGGGACTGGTCGATCCCAAGAGGGTACCACCATTACCAACCTTCGAAATTCAATTCACCAAGAAAACAAACAAGAAACGATCTGCGAAACGATCACTTCTGGCCATCCCTGTTGTGGACATGGAGATCTCTCCCCCTGCCAGACAAACAACAACCCGAGAGATGGGACGAGGTCCTCCGCCAATCGCTTTTTGACAATAGAAGAATCGTTGACACCTGGGGTCAAGTCCTAAACTGTGCGGAATCTCCCTGGCGGGTGTGGGTCAAGAGGGGAGTAATGAGAATCAGCGATATATGGGACCGGGCCACGCGGGACTAGATCGACACGGACCTCCTCAGACAAAAGCTGCGTTATGGCCATCGATCAAAAACGGCCCTGGAAGAGGTAATTGAGAGGATCCCCCTGAGCTGGTGGCAAATCCTCAGAAACGGGCCCACAATACAAGAAGCAGACTGGGTGCAGATCCCCGGAAGCAAGCAGGAACTGGGAAAGGTGGTACACAGCAGCTCAGACGGGCGAGTGACGGTGGCTGTATATACAGTAGGGAGGAGCAACATCCTCCAAGCACCCGCCTCAGAGGAAACACGCTGCTATCAGACGGAAGAGCTGCTGCGAACTAGAGTCTTGGAGGATGGGGATCAGCGGGTGGCCTTCTCCCCTGGCACCCCGATTGCACAACTACCCCTGGACCCAATAGAGTGGACATGGACAGGGTTGGGAGGGAGACGGAAGCCACACACCCAAACGCTATACAACATGTCAGTCAAATCCAGGTACAGAATGCTTCGACCCAAAATTAACCTCCGCGATCGGGTGGAGGCCAGATGGATGAACCACTTAAATATCAGTAAAGCATCACTTCGGGGGGTCAAATGGTTCCATCTGGTAAAAACGAAACCTGCGAAACAGACATCCCTGCAATGGCAAATGGAACACCGGTGCTTACCGACTAATGATTGGCTGATCGATCGGACGACCCTGGAGCAGAGCGGACGGGCTCTCCCTTGGTGTAAGTTCTGCTTCAGTTCGTTCCCGGCTCGGACCAGACCAGAAACAATCGAGCATATCTTTTTGCAATGCCCAGGGGCGGTCTGGCTCTGGCGCTGGTGGGATAGGATCTGGAATCAGCTGAAAACAAATGTGCCCTGGCCATGGGACTGGAAGGCGTTATTGTTAGAAGCATGGTCTGAGGAACAAGCAGATGCCTTCACCCAAAACCTCTTCGAACTCGGACGCAGAGCAGTGGTATGGGCACTTTGGAACCGCCGCTGCACTTACGAAATGGAGGGGGTAAGGTTGGAAGGAACGGAGTTCACAGAGACTATACAGCAGCAAATCCAAATCGGAATAACTATACAATGGGAAGAGGTTAAACAGCGGATCAGCTCTCTGCAAACACAAAAGGAAATAAACCAGAAAATCCAGGACTTTAGTGCTAAATGGCTCGGGGGGAAACAAGGGGGAAAGGTGGGGAGAGTGGAACGGGTAAGGGGAATGGGGGATCAGGGGAATGATCAGGAAAGGAAAAGGCAAGGCAAGGACTATCGGCTGATATTTCATGAATGGGCTCAAGTGGACGCTGCAATTCCCATGAGATCGGCTAATGATTTCCCGAACCCCTTCCCCCCTCCCTCTAATAGTATGGTCGAATTGGGATGGTATGGGGCATAGAGGGGAGCAAGAATAGAGCTTTCTGGCTGTAGGGGGATATGGAAAGGGAAAGGGGAGGGACTAGGTTTGGTAGCAATTTTTGACGTCCCAGCCCGGGTGAAGAGGTCCCCCCCCTCCCTTCAACTCCTTCCAAGTACCCAGTTCAGTCAATCCCCTGGCAGCCAGCGCAGGACAAAGTTTTGTCTCTTGCAAACAAATCACATGGGCAGCCTGCGAATGTACCCACTGCGGGATACCACTGCGTTGTCGACCGTTAGGACCGTTACGATCATTGAGGCCTCGCACATTCCAGCTAACAAAGCGGAGACGGCTTGGAAGGACCATCAGTCAGTCCAGCCTCGCCGCCCTTAGATTGGATTAGGCGGTGCGTGCCAGCAGGAATCTTTCTGCGTTTGTCCTCGTCCTTGTCTCCTGGCTGCAACTCTGTCAGAGCCCAGGGGCTCATCAGGACCGACTCAAAATCGGAGGACGATAAATAATCCTTCAAAGCAGCATGTTTGATCCAATCGGAGACAATATGTGTCGTAATCCCTTCAGCCATATATATCTTCTTTAGAATTGGATTAGAGGCTTGAGTGAACTGCTGCAGCGGGATCCAGTAAGGATTCAAGGCCCGCAATTTCTCGAGCGTTTCCGTTGGCAACTGAATATTCAAAAAAGCAAAGTGAATGCATGCTTTGCAAGCTCTTTTCCCAGAAGCCCAATCAAACACAAATCTGTTGACTTTCGGCTCCGGCAGAAGCCTTGCATAGCATATCATTGGGCCTTCTGGAGAAGAGACACAGATCAGGGGGGCCAGGTATTCTTCCATTTTATTCTTATCGCCTTTGAGCTTCGTGGTCATGGGCTGGGCCCCAGAAAGAGATCTAGCCCCGCTACCTTTATATCTATTCCTCGACAACCCCTTCCCCTCTGCTGGTTGGCTGAGGAGAAGGGGTCTTCCTTCTGAGTTAGTATGCGATTTCTTGGAAGGTGTCTGACAGGCCTTCCCCGTAGAGGATGGGCCTTTGGGAGTGTCGTCTTCTGATAAATATGGTCCTAGGGGCACCGATAACAACGGATCGACCTCCGTGGGCCGAGGTGCTGATGGCCCAGGGCCCGCTGTCCCCATTTCCATATCTGCATTGGAGCCATCCGTGATCCTGAGAGTTGGAGACAGCGTCCGAGATGACCCAAGTGACTGATTTGAATTGTCCAAACAGAGATCCTGGTCTACAACCAAGGGGGTGCCAGTCAGCTTGTCAATCCATGACTGACGCGGCTGTTCTCCTGGAGAGAAGATGGGGTTGACATGTTCTATGACAAAGCCCTTGGCTGGTAACAAGGCATGAGAGGAAGCTGGCTTCTCTGTGGAAGCCGGGCTGGAAGGTTCTGTGACAGCTTTAGCGATTCCTTGCGGTTGGGCCGACAATGGTGCAGCGGGTGATGGTGATGATGGTGGTGGTATGGTGGGGGGGAGGATGGTTGCACCATAGATGGGCCTGCTCCCTCCGTAGGAACCCAAGAGCCCTTAGGTTGTCTGCGGTGGGGAGAACGTGGGGGAGTGGCCCTCCTTCCCGCCCCCTTTCCTGACTACTTCCCAGCCAGGGAGGGGGCGGGAGGGGAAGGGGGAGCATTCATCGGACTCTGTGTACCCGCGGAGTACATGGACTGGCCCTGCTGCATTTTACGTTTCCTGGCTGGGCAGTCCAGGTCGCCATCTGTGTGAAAGTATCCCCGACACTGACTGCGCCAATCGGTAAATTGGCTAACGACCTCCAATTCCATCGAACCTCCCCCATCGGGGAGGTCAATTGCCAAGTACGGCGTGTACCATTCCTCCGCAGCTGGCTCCAGATCAAATCGGATGTTAAACAGCTCTGGCTCCTCCGGACTCGCTGAAATCGGACCCACTTTGAGAATCCGTCCATATGCCAATTTCACTACATCATGAATGAGTGGCATAGCCCCTATCGGAACCTGAAGGACACGCACCCAGAAAAGTTGAGAAAACTCTGTATTGCATAGTTTCACGCCAATCTTGAAGTTCTGCTTCAGACATCCATGGTCTGAAGTGGAGGGAATGTTTCACCCCGTCCAGCTTTACCTCGTCTGTTTGTTTCTTCAATAACCATTCAGCTATCTCCTTAGTACTAGGAACATAGGTAACAAGGTTCCGCCCTTCGTTGTGAAAAAGACCCCTCTTCGGCTCATTGCCGAGCATCGGCATCCCAATCCATCTATTCTCATACATACGAACTAACCTTTTCTTAATTTTCACAGGAAGAGAGTCGCTGTTTTGGCCAAAAAAGATGGCGACAGCGTTGTGAGAGAGTCATTCCCTCTAGGCTCGAAAAACAGGCAAGTCTATCTTAACACGATCCCCGTATCTTTCGACCCTATCTTCGTCATTGGGGATCAAGTCCGAAGGCAAGACCCCAGATCAATAGCACTCTTCGATGACTCGGAGAGTCCTCTCCTTCTCTCGATCCAGAGAAGAGGTTGACCGATTGTCACCTTCCATTCCGTACGTTTAATACGGGGTTCTCCCCACCGTGTCATGCAATCGTGTGACGGACTAAGTCCAGCCGCTGTCCCAATCGAACGGGAGAAAGCGGAAGGGAGAAGACGCCCTCAAACTGAATCTTCCAAACAATCTGACACCTACTCTCCCTCTAAAACTTGCATGCCCAGGTTAAGTTACCGAGAGCAGAAAGGAAGGGAGACGATTATTCCTTGATGCCCAGGTTAAGTTACCGAGAGCAGAAAGGAAGGGAGACGATTATTCCTTGACCTAACCAGTAAACAGGTCAAATCACAATGTAAGGGATGTCGGCAGTCTACGGCAGATCCCCTCGTCGAAGTCAAATTCTCAATATCTCCGACCACACCCTTATACCATCCTTCCCCCAAAATTCACTTGCAGTTAAATACCCACCCTCCCCCCTGAAGAACATGAGACAATAAGGATCCAGAGATGGATGGAGATTACCTCCCGGTCTTGAACAAGCCCAATCAAGTTATCTCGAGAGAAGGTGCCCAGACCAGAAATTCCACAGTTCAGACAACCCACCCACCGAATAGAAGATGACGTCTTCTTCAAAGGTTCGAAGCCGCTCCCCGAGTCTTCTGGCCGCTCCCAGTTGTCCACCCTTCCCAGATCAATACAGATGTCAAAAGAGGAGCCCGACTCCTCGAAACGAGCGAAGAGCGGTCGACTCCCCGCATGCAAACCGTTCGAATTCTTCTAGGGATTTGAGCAGATTATAGAGCAAACTGGTTTCATAAGGGCTGCTGGGAAGGTCTCCCAGCCGAGTGTAAGACACTCCCCTAACCACTCAAGGAGAGGGTTGGCTGGGGCCCCATGAAGAACGAACACTCAAACCATCCAACAGGGCGAGCGACAGCTGACAAGATGGCTCTGGATAACCCGTCGACCCGCTCACCTCGCAAGCGCCTTACTCCGTCTACCAGGAGGGCTATCAGGTGGGCACTAATTAGGGTTGTCTGACGACGACGCCAACCTCCATCGTGTCGAGCTCGCCGCGTCAGGAGCGACCTGTCACCCGGAACCCAGAATTAGCGCACCTCCGAATAGCGCTACCGGCCGCGGGTGGCGAGCGAGGCCCCCCTTCTTTTCCAGGCACAAGTTTTCTATCCATCCAATTTTAACGAATGTCCCAAAGGACAAGTTTTCATGACACCTTTTTTTTTTTTTTTTTTTTGAGGGGACAAGGCTCCGATCTATTCGTGGGGAGCAGCACGTGCTGGGAACCGGGCCCAGCGTCCCATATGGAAATTTACATAGAATTTTGAAAGTTTGAGATACCGGGGCCATTATCTGGCTTTGGCTAAGAAAATTTTGAGCTACTTAGAAAGTTACTACGACAAACTTCAGAAAAAAGGTCTGCCCACAACAAAACACGCCATCGCAGAGGTCCTACAATGCTCGAAACCCTGTGGATCCCTAGCAACCCTTCTAAAGCTCTCCAGCACTGTCGTACTCCCTGCCGAGCCCTTCCAGGACGCACGCCCCCACCCTGCTCTACAGTACCATACAAAATTGTTGGTCTCCCCTGCCTCCTCCTCCATGGTATCTGGACACTGTATACACGATCCTTGTCCTTCCCAACAATCTTCCTCCTCCTACACATGCTGCTTCTTCTTCTTCCTCCTCTTCTTCTTCTTCTTCTTCTTCTTCTTCTTCTTCTGCTGCTGCTGCTGCTGCTGCTGCTGCTGCCACTTCCGCTTTTGCTTCCTCCTCCTCCTCCTCCTCCCCCTCTTCTCTTCTTCTTCTTCCTCCTCCTCCTCCTCCTCCTCCTCCTCCTCCTCCTCCTCCCCCTTATCTTTTACTTCTTCTCTTCTTCTGCCTCCTCTTCTTCCTCCTCCTCCTCCGCTTCCCCTTCCCCTTCCTCTTATTCTTCACTCAGTATCTCTATGGCTCCTCTTATCCTCTCTTGTCTTGTGATTGGCAGCTTGACCAGTAGTGTTGACAGCGTGTAAGACTTCTGATGCTGACTAATCAGTGAAAGCGTTGTTGATTCTTTTGTGACTTTGCACGCATGGTATAGAGCACCACCACTTCTTACGCTTTCTTGCTCAAGTTCTGATGTGGTGGATGAGTACCCAGCCTTCGACATGTCATTAACACCCATGCCGTACCAGCACGCATCACCAATGCCGTACAAGCACCCAAGCCGTACAAGCACGCATCACCAATTGTGCTGATGAATTCACCGTCCACAGACAGCGGGGACAGCCATGCACAGACGGGCTCAAAGAATGCCTACCCTCTTCAAAGCCAACTCCGAATTCCTGGCCCCTTTAAAGTTTCAAAACCTGACCTTTCTTATGAATCTGCCATCCATCAATGCATCTATCTCGCTCCTTCCTCGTCCTTATCATGAAATTCACTGTCCCATCCAATCAATGTCTATCTCGTTTATTCCCCTTTATCTATTTCTGAACCCAATTCCTCAAAACTTCTCAAAAGATTCAACTGAGAACTTCCCTTGCACAATGGTGTTCAAAAAAAAAAAGAAAAAAAAAGAGAGAGATTCTGAAGTTCTGAACAGTCCTTTTCTGAACCCAACCCATGTGCCTGAACGGTATATGATTTCGAAATTTTTTATTTTTTATTTTTCAAAATTCAGTAACACAATGTGAACAACGTGAAGTGGTTACTGAACAGATCATGAGTTCGAATCTCGACAGAATCAGATGGACAAACTAATGGCCGGGACACACATAATTTGTCACATATATGATTTCAATTTTTTTTGTTTTAATTCAGAAGTGTTAATGAACAGATCATGAGTTCAAATCCTGCGAAATCAGATGGATAAAATAATGTTAGGGATGGCGCACGTAAACAGAAAAAAAAAAAACCTGAAGTCCTTTTCTAAACAGAGATTTCAGTTCTGCAGAACTTGTAGAAGTCTCCAGAAGAAGAAGATGGGCCCCGTAAGCCGGCTGGCTAGCTCAGTTCGTTGAGCACGTAACAGGCACTCAGGAGGTCGTGGGTTCGATAGCCAACGTCGTCCTTTCGATTCCCGCTGCCTCCTGGGGGTGTTCATTGGAGTCTGTTTCAGTTCGTTGAGCACGTAAGTGGCACTCAGGAGGTCGTGGTTTCGATTGCCAACTTCGTCCTTTCGATTCCCGCTGCCTCCTGGGGGTGTTAATTGGAGTTTGTCTCTAAGGAGGCGACAGACATACGGCACGCCCTGGACTGACGAGCTTCAGGTTCACCAGCGGAGATGATTGGCTTGGGCCTCCTGCCAGTGGCTGGTTGTGGAAGCGATTGTGCGGTGGGTCTCTGTCCAGCCTATGCCAGGTGTTAGGATTGGGAGCTTGGGTGCTGCTTCCCGTACAGAGCCGAATGAGGGGCCGGTTTCAACCCATCATAACCCCCTTAGGGCCGTCCAGATAGTGTGCATAGATAGGCTTGGGTGAAAAAATGGAACTGGACAAGGAGTAGATAGGTAGGAAGGGAGAGAGAGAACAAGAGAAACAATATAAGGGTAGTTTTATAAAAAAAAGATGGGCCCCGCAGGACTACTCACCAAATGTACAAAAGACAAAAGATCACGGGCACCGTGTATCTTTCCATGTTCTAGCCGAAGATTCACTCTCATTGTGCACATTTCGAGAGTACTGGAGCAAGGCCTGATGTTTCTGAAGTCTCAACGTATATATATATATATATATATATATATATATATATATATATATATATATATCGTCAAATAGAACTGCCCGGTAAACCGTAGGCAGAGAGGGAG